CAACAAAAAAAGGAATTTGTATTCAAAAATACAAAAATAAAGAAATCCTACAGCCCAAAAATAAAGAGGCAAACCACCTCTTTATTAAAAAAATCAAAACTGAGCAAAATATTTGAACAAGTATTTCACAAGCCATATGAGTTCCTATACTTAAAGGAAATGGAAAGTATTGTGTTCTCATCTATTTTGTGATAGCAACTGCTGGTGATGCCATCTAGGCCTGGAGTTTTCTTTGAGGAATATTTTTAAATTATTAATTGACTTTCTGTACATGTTGCTAAATAACCTTTTTTCCTTTCTTGTGTCAATTGTGCAAATGTGCTTTTCAAGGTTTCTGTCCATATCATCTTGGTATAGGTGGGGACACGAGTCAGGTCTAGCCTGGCTGTGCCTTTGACTGCTTTCTCACACAGTGGCTGAATGGAGTCGTGCTAGAGACCAGGCTACCTGCCAAGGCTGAGGATCACTCACTCTTGAAACACTCAGCTTTCAAACTTACTGGTGTGACTTGGCCTTCTATCTCCACACCATCCAGGGAGGACCCTTTCTTTTTCCTGGTGTTGGTGATTTATGTACTTCCCCCCCCCCCTCCTTTTTCCTAAGATTTGTAGGTGTTTATCAACTTAAGAAATATGTATATGGTTTTGATAATATAGTTTACAGTTTTCTGCTTTATCTTGAGAATTTCCTTTGAGTTTAATGTGCTCATTTTTTTCAGGTTTAAGATAGGAATTTAGATGATTAGTTTTACATCTTTTTCTTTTCTAATATAAGCATTGATGGAAGCTTTATAAAGATGAAGAATATCTCTTAGAAACCTGCAGAGAAAATCATGCTTAATGGTAAAACATTAGAATTATTTCCATTAGTGTCAAGAATGAGGTAATTATGTGTACTGTCTCTGGCATTCACTGTTCAATATTGTGCTGGTGGTTTTAGCAATATGATTAAGGAGAAGTAGGAACTGAACAATGGAAAGGGCAGCAACAAACTCAAGTTCCACAACACAAACCCAGTAGCGTCTAGGATGGGACCTGGTTTCTTTGATGTTTTCCTTGTTTCAGGTGAAATGAAAATTCATTGTTTATGATAATGCTGAAGGTGAAACATTCATGGGTTTCAAGATAGAAATTTTTGTTGCTAGAAATTTTTACTAAATGAAAAGAGCATTGTGCTGAAGTCCAGTTGGAAAGTGTTTGAAAGTTGAGGTAGCTGACCCCCAGAAGTGCTATGCCAGTTACATTGTAATGTTCACTTTGATTTGCTGAGCTGAAGATTAAACTCCAGATATTAACATTCCCACAGAGGGGGCCATTCCAGCTGCTTTGCCACTATGGTGCCACCACAATGGAGGCCCAGCCACTTCCAATGAGAGAACAAACCCTCCCCTCTCACCTCGAGTCTTTTCCTTTCTGTTCCTGGTAGCTTCAAATGCTCTTTTTCTTTATATTCATATTTATTTGAATTTTACTTTTTCACTCATTTCTTGGTCTGTTTTTCAATTGTTTTTCCCTTGTCCTTTCTTCTCCTGCCTTTCGAACATTCCCGGTCTTTTGGTCCTTATCTAGGCCCCTTTTTAAATTTCATCATACCACATCACATCCTGGGCTAGTCCCATGTATTTTGATGGCTGCTCCATTTTCTGTTTTTATGGTGGTGGTTTTTTCGTTGTTTGTTTGTTTGTTTGTTTGTTTGTTTTGATATGCTGGCAAATTTGATCTCTGGCTCAGACTCTCCTGAAGCACAGCCAGAAACATACTGGAAATTTCCACTGGAAGTCTGACAAGCTCATCCAACCTAGAACACTCAAAACATTTTCACTCTTCTCAAAACCTCTTCTCCAGTGTTCTCAACTCCAGAAAAAAAATGAAAACCCACAACATTCTTTACAAGTTGGTCATACTAGAAGCCCTTTTAACACTTTCATATGAATCAACCACCAAGTCTCTTCAGTGACCCTAAAAATCATCTCCCTTTTCATTTGTTTGTCTGTCACATTGTAAATATTCTAGCCCAAACCACTCTTCCCTGCCTTAGATGATGATAGCATCCTCCTGTCTTGTTTTTTCTTCCTCTATTATTTTTCTCTAATTCATTCTTCATACTACAACCAGAGAAAACTTAAAATTAATTTTTTTTATTACAAAGTTTATTTTTACATCATTTTGCACATTTTTTTTTCCATCTCGATTGTAATCCCCGCAGGTTTGTCATCACCAAATCACTCCTGTGCCACCACTATAGTCCCGTGCATTTCCGTCCCCCCCCCCCCCCCGTTTTTAATCCCATTCCCCACTCCGCCCCCACAGAATGTCTCTGGTATATGGTTGTTCATTATTTTTGTTATTTTCTCGCCTTGTCCATTATACTCCTGCTATGAGTGAAACCATCCGGTATTTTTCTTTCTCTTTCTGGCTTATCTCACTAAGCATGATCTTTTCCAGCTCCATCCAAGTTGCTGCAAAGACATGTGTTTCTCTTTTTTGGTTGCTGAGTAATATTCCATTGTATATATGTACCACATCTTTCTAATCCAGTCATCTACTTTTGGGCATTTGGGCTGCTTCCATGTTTTTCCAATTGTAAATAAAGCAGCAATAAACATGGGGGTACAAGTATCTTTTTCAATCAGTGTTTTTGTGTCTTTTGGATAGATACCTAGCAGTGGGATTGCTGGGTCATAGGGAAGCTCCATGTTTAGCAGTTTGAGGAACCTCCAAACAGTTTTCCATAGAGGTTGTACTAGTTTGCATTCCCACCAGCAATGCAGGAGAGTTCCTTTTTCTCCACATCCTCGCCAACAATTGTTGTTGCTAGTTGTTTGAAGATGTGCCATTCTCACTGGGGTGAGGTGGTATCTCATTGTGGTTTTAATTTGCATCTCCCTTATTACAAGTGATGTTGAACATTTTTTCATATGCCTGTTGGCCATCTTCATTTCCTCTTTGGAGAAGTGTCTTTTTAGCTCTACTGCCCATTTTTTGATGGGATTGTTTACTTTATTTTTGTTGAGGAAAACTTAAAATTAATTTTTAAAATGTAATCACCTCTCATCTCCCAAATTTCTTCAGTAGCATCTAAGTGCCCTCAGATTAAAGTTCAGACTCTGGAGCTATGCCTCGTGTTCGGGCCCTCGCTTTCCTGCCCAGCACCCTTGGGCATTTGATCTAGCTTTCTTGCCATTTCTCCTCATTCTCAGTTTCTCCCAGTTGACTGATAAGTTTATCTGCTGTATCCTGGACTTTCATACAGGCTGACTCCTGTCATGAAATATCACCTCATGGCCAATCCTTAAGTTCTCAACAATCTTAATCATGCCCATTCTTTAGGTATTACATGCTGGTTTTCCTCCAGGTAACTTTCTGAGTCCTAGCTTAGGCAAGGCCCCATTGCTGTCTGTGTTGTGGTACTCTGTGCTGACCCTAGCAAAACATTTGTGACTATTTATATGCATTCCTTGTTGTGCTTGGTTTTAAGTCTTTCTAGAATGCTCTTTGCCCAGCAGCCATTTCTCTACCTTGAAGGTGGTAGATGGGTTGATTTCATAGAGACTGGTATAGGTGACCTACTTTTACATTTAGTAAGAGTTCAGACTCTAAAGTCAAACTTCTAGGTTTGAATTCTTTCTCCCTTGACTGGTAAATGTGGCTACTAAGTCTGTGTTGTGCCTGTTGTGGAGACTAGGTGAGATGATAGAGGCAATTGTTTAGTGCCTGGTACATTGTACATTTTCCTGTAGAGAATATACATGTACATATAGATTGTACATGTTAGGGTTATCATTTGTCTGCTTTTTCCATTCTTATTAAAATTCTGTATCCTTCCCTAGTTCAGCCAAACATGCTGAGTTTCATGTTTTTTTGAGATGTGATAATAGTGCTGCAGGAAACCTGGTTTTGACTGTAGACTATGGAGGTTTCAGAACTTTGGTGATCTGTCATATTCACCTCTTATCAACTCGCTCAGTTTGTAAGTGACTGTCCTTTGTAGAACTAAAGGGGAAAGGGAATGGTATTTTCTAATATGCTCCCCTGGAGTATGGCAAAATATTTTCCTCAACTAAACCTTTAAATGTTTTATCTGAATAAGCATTCTAATAAAGCAACCACCAAAAAATAGTATTTTTTAAACTTTCAACCACAATTAACAAGGTGTATGTAAGACCATATCTGTACAACTATATTCACAGTAAAAAATTTGGGTCTGAAAGTTTCACAAAACAATATTATTAGTAACACAACACATTTTTCATCTCATTTCTGTGATGTCACAGAAATGATATTCTGTTCCATTAAATTCATTTTCTGTTCTATGAAAAGAAGTTAGTGGTTTGAAAAATAAAGATTAAGAAATCAATGGACCTAATGAGAATAGGTATGTGAATAAGAAGAATTCAGTAGAATAGGGGCCTCCCTGGTGGTGCAAGGGGTTAATGTGCAGCACTGTGAAGCTATCTGCAAAACTGTGAAGCTATCTGCAGTATGAGTTCAATCCTGGGGCAAAGCGGTGACCCATATGGCACAGCAGACCTCTCTTGTCTCACCTGCTGTTCCCCTCAACCATGTATTTCGGTAGATCTGCCTGCTCTGCTCCCCACTCTGCCTCTGAATCTGCTCAACCTCCGCACCTCTTACCTGTACCTCAGTTCTTGTATGCATAAATAAATCTTTTTTTAAAAAAAAAAAAAGAAGCAGGGCATTCTTCAATTTGACATTTGTAGCATTTCTGAGCAGTCTTTGCTATCACCTATCAAAAAAAAAAAGTTTATATGATATTTAGTTCTTACTACACTTTTATAGGTCACAGCACACTGCTATTCCAGCAGAATTGAGAACTAGATCATCATTGGGATGGAATGTGAGTTCTCTGTAGCCAGGAAACCTTTCTTCTGCCCCTGGCTTTGTCATTGCTCACAGGCTCACCTGTCTTCTTGGACTCTCAACTCAAAGAGAGTAATATTTATTACTTGTAATTTTAATTCTTTTAAAAATTCCTTCTAGATTTCTCAATTGAATGCACTGATTGCACTTCTTCTGGGAGAACTTCTACCTGGAGACAGACAAAAAATCATGACAATTTGTACTATAGATGTCCATGCCAGAGATGTGGTGGCAAAACTTATTTCTCAGAAGGCAAGTTGTTCAAAATTTACATATTTTGTTGATTCCTAAAAGTAGTGTTTATTGGCAAGAGTATTTTCAAGAAAGTCATTTTTTAAAATGTGTTTTGTTTAGTGTACTTCAATTAGTCCTGAAAAGTTAGATATACTTACTTTGGGTGAGTCTGGTTGGGCTGATAATATTGTTGTGAGAGTTATCCTTAGTGATATCCCAATGGGCTTTGCCAAGTCAGGAGCCTCTAATCCAGATCATGCAAAATGTAACCCAGGATTGAAGAACCACAAGAAGTCACCATGTTAATTCCCTGTCTCCTGGTGTGCCTACCTATAATTACCTTGGTCATCTGCCTCTGCTGGTCAACTTTGTGGCTAGTAGCTAACATACATTAGCATTGTATATATGTCATTTGATTATTTTCCTTTTAAAGAAAAAGAAGCGTTGGTAACCTCATTTCATTTCATGGTTAACTTCATTTCTTTAAAGAAGTGATTTTCAGTGTATTAGTAACCTTCTTTATCTCTTTAAAAAGTCCACATGCCAGGTGCTAGCAACATTTAATATGAAAGAATTTTCTCACCCTTTTCCAAAATACATTCATACTTACAAATGGTAGGAATATGCTTCTGTACTTAATGACATTGATATAAATGCCTGTCACCTCCTTCTTCCAAATCTCTTTGTTTTCTGAGTGGTAGTACAACAGTAAGATAATTTGAATGCATTTATGTATCATGAAGTGTTTTCTGATTTTCTAGTTCTTAGCTCATTGAAATCAGTGTGAACTTTAATTCTCCCAACAAAGTGCAAGCAAATGCTTCTTTATGTCAACCATAAACTTAAAATTATTTTTGAACCAGGTTCAGGACAATTAGTGAATAATACTTTTTAATTGCTAATACAAAACTGATCTTTGCAAATCATTACTTATTTTACTTTCTCACTTTGGTGATGTGTTGTCTTAGAATACAGCCTTGCACCTTCTTATAAATCTTAGTCTGTTACCAGTTTGGTGTTTTGTTTCAGTAGTATAAGTTATGATTTAAAATATGTCCTTTGTCCCGCAGGGATTGCAATCGAGATGGAAAAAAAATGTGCAAAATGATGTAAGAATAAACTTTGTAATAAAAAAAATATATGTCCTTTGTTTTGTAGCAAAAAGGATGAAAACTTTGTCTAATTCCTGATAATTTTTCAGTATATTGAGACTTGCATAGGTATCAAACAAATTAATAGATACAGGGCCACCTGTAATTTGAAGATGACTAGGTTGAATTAAGAAAGAATAGCAATGAAGAAATATTATTTTGATTTAATAAAAAAAGAAGTGGGGAATCTTCTTACCAAAAGCACACTAGTATTAGAATGCACCTGTTGAAAATAGTGTTTTTATACCTCCAACATTCAAAAATTATGGATTTTGTGCTATCTTAGTATGAATATTAAGTCTGATTTCAGTGGTATGAGTAAAAAGTTACATGATGTAATTCCCTAGGGTGATTCATAAAAGGAGGAAAAGCACTGCTTGAACAAATTGATACTGTTTTATAGTGAAAGGCCTCTTAAAATGAAGACTTTTATTACTCACATTTCTTATTAAAGCATTCCATTTATTTACAAGCAGTTGCAATATGCAGTAGTATCTAATAAATTTCCTTTTTGTACAGTTTTTAGAAATGAAACGTGAACCAGCAGAATTGATTAAATTAACAGATTACCTTTGTTGATCATGCTATAATTTTAGGTTGTCAGTCCCCAAGCTTTTGCTTGGCTGTCTCAACTCCGTCACCAGTGGGAGGATACCCAGAAACACTGTTTTGTTAATATTTGTGATGCACAGTTCCAGTACTTTTACGAATACCTTGGAAACAGCCCTCGACTTGTGATCACTCCTCTGACTGACAGGTAACTATTACAGGTGTGAGTCAGATAGGAAACACCGAGCCAAAAGAATTCCCAAGCCTGGGTGTAGAGGTGTGACACTGAAAAGAATGGAAAAAAATGATGAATCAGTTGGGAAAGTAAATGAAGGCTGTATATAAATGAACTCAGTAACACAGTGAGTATTGACTTTAGAGACAAAAGAACCAAATTAGACAAACATAATCACAGAAGCTATACAATATACAAACACAAATATTGTTAACATATTAATGTGTCGTTAAGTAGCAACTTTGATCAGTGAGCCCATTCTTCCTGGCTGTCTATGTATAACATCCTAATGTTAAGGTTTGTAAGCACCCCTGCCTCATATCCCTCTATTGATAGTGTAATAATAAGAACTGCTGATGTTAATTCATTTTTGAAGAATTACCCACAAAAGGAGGAAGGAAGAGAATATATACCTTCACTAAGTGATCCAACAAATACTTACAAAGCACTGTGCTAAATACTTAAATTCTGTGTTAGAGTTCCCACTGTCACAAAGCACACTTTTTGGTTAAGAGAGTATACTGTGAGAGTGGGCAGCTGGGAATGAAGAAAAACAAGTAAATAAAGTTATTTTAGGCAGCATATGCAACTGAAAAATGAAATAGGGTGATATGTCTTCAAGGGAGAGTCTCCTATAGGTTGAATGAAAGAATAGTTAAAATGAGCCTAAATGATAACAAGAAATTTGTTGTGCAGACATCCTGCGGCAGCGTTAGAAGCAAAGAACATAACAAAGGTTCTAATTGGGAAGGAGCTTGCCAGTTCGAGGAATGACAGAGAGGCAGTGTGGCTTAAATATGTAAAGGGAGGGAGGAGTTGCTATTATTAAAAGTTCATTGCCACTTACACCAAGTAAATAAATCCAGATAGTCAGAATGTTGCAGAGGTAAGGATATATTGCACTGCCATGAAATTCTTTGTTATTCGTCCAGCTGCTGCTGAATTATTTGGTGGGAGAAAGCACATTTAATTCTTGGTGTTCACGAAAGATAATTTATTCCTTAATATCACGGGTGGATGATCTCAGTTATCCACTGTCACTACACTAAGTTTATTTGGGACTAAAAGAGTAGATGGTTTCAACAATGTGTCTGAGAAGCTGGGTTGTGATGGTGGTGCTGGGAGGAAGGCAGAATTCATTCGCTAGCTTTGTGCTTGTCCTTACATTTATCTCATCACTGGTATATTGCATGATTTCTGAATTCTCTTTCTCCAATTCTTTTTCACTTGTCTCTAACTAAAATTCTTTGTTCAGTAATTTACATCTGTTTGTAGTATGGCAGGTTAAATGCCGTAGCTTGACAAAATCATTTGAGAGTAGTCAAGATTGCAGATGTTAAGAACTTACTGAATGCATGCATCCATAAGTAGAGAAAATGGGAAGAAAGACACAGGATATAAGCAAGAAAGGGATGAGGCATTTAAAGTTTATCACTATGTGAAGACTGATAGCTTATTAACTTGATGATTAAAATATCACTGGTTTATTTGGAAGTTGAAAGGACGATGAATGTTCCTTTTAATAGTGTGGACAGTGATGGGGAAGATGCTTACAGTGTATACATTTCCTTTTTAATTTCATTCTTTGGATTATTTACGAATTGTTTAGCACAAAGATGCTTTCAAAAACTTCCTTTAGGTCAAATTTGAGGTGGTCTGGATAGGATTGCAGCCCAAGCTGCTATTGGAGAGCGAGACAAAAAACCATGCCTTCAGTAACACAGAGACTGATACCTCACTTGGGTAACAGTCCAGAGGAGAATAACGCAGGAGTCTAGGCTGGCAGGTGGCTGACTTGCTAAATATGGCGCCTACTTGGTTTTCAGCCAGTGAAAAAGGAGAAAACATCTTAAAGGAAGTGCCCTAGGCATGGTAAAAATCATATCAACACATGACACATTGACTTTGTCCACTCCTGGCTGCAAGGATAGAAGGAAACACAGTCGGTGGCATACAGGCAGCCATAGGTCTGGAGCCACATGAAAAGATGCTAGGGAACGGTTCCACTTCAGAAAGAGCTGTATTCCTAGTCCAAGGGTGTTTCCATTGTGTACTCAAGGTGAAAGACACTTAAACATGTGGTGGCCATGAACTATAGAAGCATTATTTTCATTAGTAGTTGCTTCTGTTTGCACACTATTCCAAGTTTTCAACATACTTATCTTCGACTTTCCTTATCTCTACAGTAAGCCTCATTTTGTGAGGGGAGAAAATGTAAGTCATCCAAAGACCTATTTAAGATTAAAACCTGATAATGAGCAGACACCAACCTTGGTTGTCTGACCTCCACCTATATGTCTTTCCACTAGATACAGTGACTGTACAAAATAATTTATAAATCTGTGGAAACCCCATGTAAGGTTATTCCATTTATTAGTTTCCCTTCTTTTACAACAATTAAGTTTTGTCTGAATGATTTTCTCAGATAACCTCTCAAACATTCTTACAAAATTGTATTATCATAACCCATATTCATGTGTCAGCACATTTAAAATTAATCCCTAAAACACAATAGTTTGAGACATAATGTCATATTAGTATCTTTACCAGAAACTCTGTAGCATTGTTAATCAAGTGTTATTTGTTCAGATACACAGCTCTTAGAAAATGAGATATATTATTTTTGAATAACCAATTTTATAAATTTGATAAAAAATATTATTGTGACTGATTGCCATGAACAAGTCGTAAGTATGTCAATATTCTGTGCTGCTACCTCATTCTGTGCTTCTTAAACTTTGAACAACGATTGGACTGCCCCTCATGTTTTCCAGAAATCTCTTATTCGGCGATAATGTCTGCGCTTTCCATTGCTTACAGGTGTTACATTACCTTAACTCAGTCACTTCATCTCACCATGAGCGGAGCTCCAGCTGGCCCAGCTGGTACCGGGAAAACAGAAACCACCAAAGATCTTGGACGTGCCCTGGGCATGATGGTCTATGTGTTCAACTGCTCAGAACAAATGGACTACAAAGTGAGTTGTAAAATGATGTGTAAGATGACAGATTCAAATGGCCTCGCTCCTGACTTGTAATGATTCATGGTAATAGTTTAGAAAACTGTCCTGTTAAATCCTCACTGCCTGCTCTGTTTAGTCCATAGGAGATATCTATAAGGGACTGGTGCAAGCAGGAGCGTGGGGCTGCTTTGATGAGTTCAATCGAATTTCTATTGAAGTTCTGTCAGTGGTGGCAGTCCAAGTGAAAATGATACATGATGCCATCAGAAACAGGAGGAAGAAGTAAGTGGCATGTGACTTTTTTCTATTACAAATGGGAAGAATAACATGGAGTAAGGCAGTAAACCTTGTCAGTCTCTTACTATTCCTCTGTCTACTGAAATGGATAGGAAGAGAGAGAGAGCCAGATCGGAGGAATTATTTTGAATAATTGCCCATTTTAAGTGGTTTTTAAGTGTTTAAGTGCCTTTGTTGTAGGCAACAAATGTTCATCCCATAATTTAAATCACTGAAGGAATAAATTCCATTTCAATGCTAAATTTGGAGGATGCCATTCTCCAGGCTGATCTGGCCTGAACTTCTAGTTGCCTTTTTCATGCTTAACCCCTCCTCTGTAAGTGACACTCAGTCTCCATGTGTATGCAAGGACACCACACCTTTCTAGTTCATTCCCTGGCTCACAACTGTTGCTTTGCTGGTTTCTTCTCATCTATAAAATGAGGCAAAGTATGGAAGCTCCTTATTGACTGTGGTGATTAAATGTAAAACACTTGTACTAGTGCTTCACATATGGAAAGAACCATATTAATGTTAAGTATCATTTTCATTGATGCAATTTCCTGACCTATTCCTATTCAGTAACATAGAGTTGCAGCTTGTCCCCTTGGTGATTTTATCCACTCATAAGGCTTTCAACACCGTTGTATGCTGCTGGCCATCAGATGTCCAAGCGTCCTAGCCCCTAGACTTAGCAATACATAGACACTGCCTATTGGGACATCTCAAAACTGCAGTTGATGTCTCTGAGGCGTGTTACTTTTTTTTAACTAATACTTCTTTTTAAAGGTTGATTTATTTATGCATAGAGAACTGGGGTACAGGCCAGAGGTGCAGGGGCAATGAGAGGCTTCTTCAGAGATAGGAGAGAGCAGAACTGGCTAACTGAAGAAATACACTGCTGAGGGGAGCAGCAAGTGGGCCAGGAGAGGTCTGCTGTGCCATGTGGGTCACTTCCGGGGTGGGGAATCAAACTCATGCTGAAGTGGCTTTAGCCTCTTTTTAACCCGCCACATCACCAGGGAGGGCCCTGAGGCCTGTTATTTTTAATAGATGCATAGTTAAATTCCTGATCTTTCCATCAGTACCTGCTTTGTTAGCTTACACTCTTAACATTTTTCCAGTTGCTCAGGATGAAAACCTTCCATATATACCCAGAACCTACCTACTTCTCAACACACCACATTCAAAAAGACAAAATGTGACTAAAACTTGGGGTTTGAAAGCTTAATTTGCGAAATAGAGTACACAATTTTGGTTTTCTTTGTTACATTTTTATATAGTGTAGTCTCATTTATTTGGTCTACCTACTTATTAGGGTATGTTCAGCTAGCTGTCTTAACTAAGAGGGCTTTTCAGCCCTCCAATCAGGGAAAGATTAGCTCCTAATCATTTAATCTACAATAGATTGAACCTCTTGCAGAAGTTTGCAGTTATTATAGATGTACATATTGTGGTAGATGTTTCTACCTTCTAGAAAACCTCTTTGTCCTTCTACCACTTGACATCTGGATATAAGCCCTATGACCAGATGTCTGTACCCTTCACTGCTATAATTCTAGTGCCATGTTGAAGAAGTCAGTTCCTTCCTCATTGATCTCCAGACATAGTCTCAAAATCTTATTTGATATAACCAAGATGTTATTTGTGGTCATCCTTTTTTAAGGAGGTTTATTTAACTGCTCTATGCAAGGCTTTCTGAAAATCTCCAGCCATACTTCTTGGTTTTCTGTCTTCACTCTGGGAGATGTGCCTCTTCATCCTCATGCTAGTCTACATACAGGTTGGTAGGCACCTTTGTCGTTTCATGAGTTTTATGAAATGCTCTGGACATTTGAGTATTTAAGATGGGACCATTTCTTTGGCACCTTGCTGGCTGTCCTCCCCTGAGGTCCATAACTTGGACTGTATCTCTCCCTGCTGTGTATAATGGAAGAGCAGTCAGTTGCTCTGTAATATCCACCTCTTTTTGCAGGCAGCCCTGCCAGGCCTGCCGTTGCTAGCCTAACATTCTTGGGAGCAAAGACTTCTCTGTTCTTGTTTAAATATACAAAAATCGTCTTTTCTGAATTTTCTAGCATTTAAGAATTTTTGTTTTAAAATTATAACTATCTCTTTTCCCTAGTCTGTGTATAGGCCAGCTCATAACCTATTCAGGCATCCCCATTCCATCAAGACAAGCCTTATATTTTGTCTGTTACTCCCACTGGAAAGTTACCTTTTCCTTCTCAATTTGGTTCCCACTATAGCCCCTTATCACCCACTTTCTTTTTTTTAAGACATACTATTTTTTAATTTTTAAAAATTTTTGTAAGTTTATTATTTTTCTTTTTTATTATTAAATTAAAATTGATTTTTAAAAAGAAATAGCATTAATTTGCCTATTATGCCCTTGTGCATATATATATGTGTGTGCATGTGTGTATATATGTTTTTTTTTTCATCATTCTTCATTTTGTGCATTTTTCCATCCCAGTTGTAATCCCCATGGACCATCACCCATTTTCTTAACCAGCAATAGCCTAGTTGGTTCTTGCAACTCTTTCTGAAAATCCTTAGTGCTTCTCCAGTACCTTTAAGTGATAACTATTGCAGTCTAGTTAACATCTATAGAGTACTTGCCATGTCCTAGGTATTGAACTCTTAGTCATTTATATATATAACCCTCATAGGCAAAGTTAATCTTCACCGTCCAACCAAGTGGGTAATGCTAGTTGAAGAAATTGGAATGTGTCTACAGTGAACTAACTAGTCTCTGAATACTCACAATCTGGCTCCAGAACTGTCATAACAATCAGGTTGTTCTACCACTCATTGGTAATCTGTCAATAGTTGTTGAATAAATGGGAAGAAGAAAGGGAGGGGAGAGAGTGGCAAGCAAATAGACCCAAAACAGGGGAACAAGGAGCCCCTTTCTCCTCTTAGTCTATGCAGAATCCTTTCACAGACTTGTACCCCACATTGTAGGCAGAACATTACCTTTTTTAACATTTACAGTCGTCAAGTCCTCATCTTTTTATTCTAACAAACTATGGCTACGCTGAACTATAAAAAAACACTTCCCATATTTATAATTCCTTTGGGGGAAGGGAGAATATTTTTAATAAACATGATTTAAAGCATATATTCAAAATATGTGCACTTACAAAGTTTAAAGAAAATTACACAGAATAAACAGCTTCCTAATAATAATTTGCATTTTTGCAGTGGTTTGCATTTGTCAATGTGCATTCATATTCAATGAACACATTTAATTTCATCGGTGTTCTTTTTATGGTAGATTTGTATTTCTTGGAGAAGCTATCACACTGAAGCCATCAGTTGGAATATTTATTACTATGAACCCAGGATATGCTGGCCGTACTGAATTACCGGAAAATCTCAAAGCTCTTTTCAGGCAAGTGTTAAACTTTGCTGCTTAGCATCTGGAACACTCATGCCACCTAACGTTGCTGGTTTGCACTGTTAAATTATTTGTTTTCACTCTAGAATTCCTAGGAAAAAGCGCTCACTGTTTCCTTGGAATTCCTTTATGCAGATAACTTTAACCATAATAAATTGACCCTCTTGAATTACGAAATTGAGATGCAAAATTATTACTGAAAAGCTGCATGGTACATTGAATACATAATGCTTATTCTTTAATAATATTTTATAATCATGATTTTTAGAAATTGTAGAATATTTGTAAAATACAGAAAAGAATAAAGAAATAACTTTGAGCATTAGCACCCAGAAATTGTTTTATTTTATCCTAATCTCTTTGATAATTCATATGGTATGGAGTTTAGGTTAGATTTGACTTTAATTAACTTATTTAATATTTTGAACATAAACTGCTTCTAAATAGTATAGACCTTTTGTTTAAATATTGTATGTATGTAGTTCCAAAATAGTTTCTTCCATGTTTGTTCACAATTTTTGTAACCAATCTTTGTTATCTGATGTGTAGGGTTTGGTTTTGGTTTGATTTTTATCATAAAATAGCAGACTATCTCTTACATGAAGTTACCTTATTTTTTTTTTTCAGATTAATACACAAGGTAGATCCCTAAATATAGAATGATTAGGTGATTGAAAGATCTTTTATTTGCTTTTTCACGATAGCTAAAAGTAACTTGAGCATCTTTTCATGGCCATACATGTTGTCACCACACTATCATTTGTGAAGTGCAACATTCCACATTCTATTCCCTGATTAAGTACATAAATTGCAAATATTTTTCCTACAGTTAGTGGCTTGCTCTTTTCATTTTCTTAAATGAATCATCAAAGTATGAAGCTTTAAATTTGATTAAATATCAATTTGATACAGATTGTTTGTGATTGTTACATACATATCCCTTCTTATCGATGGTTTTGAATCAGGTTATACTAAGCACATGAAGTTAACTTAGAAAATATTCCCTTTTCTATTTTCTTCTCAGTTTGTCAGGATTAATATTAATCACCCCATAAATATTTGATTGAATTAATCAATGGCACCATCTGAGCACATTTTTGTAAAAATCTTTGTAATGATTAATGCAATTCCTTTAATAGATAAGGTGTTATTAAGATTTTTTTGGATTATTTTTGTTCATTGCTATTTAGTCTTTATATATTTTTCACTTGAAGTTTCTTAAATCACAATAACATACAGCAATATATATGATAAAGTCACACCTCCTCAGGTACCAGGTCCTCACACCGCACCCGCCACCAAGACACCTATAATCCTCTGCTACAGTCCATTTGCTTCCCTCCTCTTCTTGTAGTCTTGATTCCATGTTCACTTTGCACTGTTGGTTTGGTTTTATCTGACCATTTGTTTTGTATCTCTATATTGCACATATAAATGAAAACTTCTGGTATTTGTCTTTCTTCCTCTCTGATGCATTCTGTTTAGCATTTTTTCCTCCAGTTCCAGCCAAGGTTGCAAATAGAGAAAGACCATTTCGCTTTTGGTTATACTTGAGTAGCATTCCGCTGTATATATACCACTTTTTCTGCTCTACTGACTCCTCTGCTGTTTTCATAATTTGGCTATTGTTATTAATGCTTCAGTGAACACAGAATTGTGTATAGCCATTCAAATTAGAGTTTTTGCATTATGAGGGCTGGTAACTAGGACTGAAACTGCTGTATTCCGTAGTAGATCTATTAATGTGTTTGAAATTGCCATACTATTTTCCAGAGGGACTTGGACATCTATCTTTCATCAACAATGTACGTGGTTTCCTTTTCCTCCATGTCCCCGCCAACACTGGCTGTTTCTGATCTTTTTGACATGGACCATTTTCACAAGTGTGAGGTGATATCACATGATGGTTTTGATTTGCATTTCCCTAATGATAAGCACTTTTTTCATGTGCCAGGCAGCCTTCCATGTGTGCCTTCTTTGGAGGAGTGTCTGTTTAGCTATTCTGCCCATTTTTATGAAGGCTGTATGTTGTGTGAATTCTTTATAGGTTGTCAATATCAGCTCTTTGTCAGAAGTATGATGTGCAGTTATTTTCTCCCATTCAATTGGATGTTTTTGTTTGTTTTAAGTGGTAGTTTCTTTCACTGTGCAGAAGCTTTTGGTTTGATATACTCCCATTTGATGTTTCTGAAGCCAATATTGTGTTGTGCTTTACTTATGTTTTCTCCAATGATTTTAATGGCTCCAGGTCTTATATCCCTATCTTAAATACATTTTAGTTAAGTTCTGTAATATGTGAGATGATCTAGTTTGACTGTTTTGTATCTGACTGCCCAGTTTTCCCAGCACCATTTGTTGAAGACACTCGTCTTTCTCTAGAGTATACTATTGGCTCCTTTGCATAGATTAACTGCCCATAAATATGGGAGTTTACTTCTAGGCTCTCAATTCTGCTGTGCTTGGCTTGTGTTTCTGTTTTTATTTTAGGACCATGCTTTTTTGATTACTATAGCTTTGTAGTTATTACTAAATAAAAATTGTTAACCCGACTTATCACATAAGCATTTTTACTAGGGCCCTAAACTTTGAAATGGTTTTGTGAAGCTTTCATAACTTTGGCTTAAGTACAGAGTCATTTATTTTGGGTGTTAACCCTTATGCCAGCAAAGTTTGAAGGGAAATTTGGACAATAAATGGTATTGTTCAAGCATAGAGGTAGTATGTACTAGCTTAAGAGCAGTATGTACTAGCTTAAAAATCATGTGACCTCAGGCATATTCTTATACTTCCCAAAACCTTACTATAAGGCCTCTGTAAGATATAGAGTCACCATATAGAGTTGTGAGTGCATGAAAAGCTTTTTAGCACCTTATTAGCATGAAGTGCTCAGTAGATATTGTCAGTATTTATGTAGTAAGTAGATTTTTTTCACTTCTATTTATTCCTCATTATTATTACTTCTATCATATGATAGAGATTAAGAAATGTAGAACCAACTTAGAAGTACTGAATAACATAGTTCCAAATGGACACTGAATAATGTTTAAGATGAAAGATTTTGAAGTGTCTTGAAATATAAAGTAGATTGTAATTAAACTCAAAGACTGATAGATAAATGTTAGGGTGTTTGCTCTCATAAATCTAAGATATCAGGTGATCAGATGTAATTACTTATTTTGGCTCCTTCTTTACCCTTAAGTTCTGTTAAATGCAATTTTTGCATTATGTTGCTGTTCATGGCATTTGTCTAAGGGTGAACTTAAACAAAACATAGTTAAATTTTGGTAGATTTTCATTTGGAATTGTATCCAAACTGGCCTCATGCAGGGATGTGTTAGAGATGCTTCGTAGGAGTTTGAAGTAGTTATATTTTCATCAATTTTGTGAGGTGATTGTTTACTCAGCTACTAATAAAAAACTAATTGTAAGGCCCTCCCTGGTGGCGCAGCGGGTTAAAGCACTGCACTGAGAAGCTAAAGCCACTTCCACATGAGTTCGATTCCTGCCTGCCCCGGAGGAGACCACATAGCGTGGCAGACCTCTCCTGACCCGCCCGCTGCTCCCCTCAGCAGTGTACTTCGTGGATCTGCCTGTTCTGCTCCCCACTCTGTCTCTGCTGAAGCCTCTCACCACCCCTGAGCCTCTGGCCTGTACCCCAGTTCTGTATGTACAAATAAATAGATCTTTAAAAAAAATTAATTGTATAAACTTTTGTACCTCTACTCTGTTCCATGCTTAGTGATGTCATGCAGTAATTACTCTCTGGAAGTCAGAAAAAACAGCTGTAGATCAGGACAGTGCTGGCCACAGGTCTAAAGGCTGGGCTGTACATAGGATAAGACATCAGGCATCACTACATCTTTCCAAAGTGACAACCAACATGAGAAGGTTACCGAATACACCCACAGATTTTCCTTGCAATCTCACACTTTGCTGCTGCCATTTTCCGACTTTCCATCTTTTTCTATGTATTATGTAACTACTGGACATTTTTCTGTTGAGGTGAAGGGTCTTGTTACCTGTGATTGACAGAAGTAATTGTGACCTCCTTGGGAATGGTTGGAATGTTGGTACAAATTAAACCCTTGATTTCAGCAATTTGTACTTATTACTTTATCACATTTTAAAACTAAATTTCATATCTACTGTTTAGACCCTGTGCCATGGTGGCCCCTGACGTTGAGCTAATCTGTGAAATCATGTTAGTTGCTGAAGGTTTTGTGGACGCACGCTCATTAGCCCGAAAGTTCATTACATTGTACACGCTCTGCAGGGAGCTTCTCTCCAAGCAGGTGAGGAGTCTTTGTTACTTTTCCTTGGTTTTTACGTCCCATTAAAACAGTTTTTTGAAATTACTTCAAATTATCATTCAAATTGCAGTTAGAGGGGTAATTTTTATTTTCCATGAAATTTTGAAAATCTGTTTTACATTTCTCTTTGCTGAAATTAAACTTGAGACATTTTAAGTCTTGGGTTTAATTTGTACTTAATACTGTTTATATCAATGTCTGTGATTTTAGATTTTACCAGCACTATAATTATAAATGGAATTTTAGGTTGCCTTCTTTTCTTGGTGAGAATATTATTTTCTAATCAGAGAAGGTAGGAGTGTTCATAAGAATTAACTAAAGCTGATTTTCAGAGGAACACCTGTAGAAATGTTATATTAAAGAGCTGGCTTAGCTTTAAAAAAAAAAAAAAAAAGACAAACTTTGGCTGTACTGTTCCCTAACATCTGTGGGTATATTCGGTAACCTTCTCATCAGTTACAATGAAGTTGTTGATGTATCAAAAACTTGCATTGTACCTGCGTCACTTTTTAAATTCAGCTTTGTGATCCCCTTTGACGTTGGTCTTTTGATGACCTTTTATTAATTCCTGCTGACATTATTTTGCAGCTGTTTCAGGATGAAAGTTTTAAAGCATCACAGCTAAAACAGCACAGGTATTTGTTCTACTGATGTACACATTTAAATAACCATTATTGGGATGAAATTTGGAATCTCAGAGGCAAAATCAGGATGCCATTTTGATTACTGTGGATCTAGGGAAAAACCATGTAATAATTAATAACATGAAAAAATTATGACGATGTTACATGTAAAAAACAGCATGCCAAACTATAGATGTGATCTATAATTTCCAAGTGTTTCGTGTCTTATACTGTGTGTTTTAGATACATGGTATGTATAAAATGAGTTGAAAATACAGTGTGATTTTTGACATTTGTCTTTGGGCAGTAAGTTATAAGCATTAAACTTTTTTCTGGCTTGCAATATCTTCCTCTCCCCCCCACCCCCATCGCCTCCTAGCGATCCCATTTCAGTTTTTAATGGGGAAATCATCATAGGGGGAAAATGTCACTGAACCCAGGAAACAGGGAGTGCAACCATATATTCATTCCCAGTAATAATATTTAAACAGCTATTGGGCATCTTTTGAATCCAAATAATATATTTACTGCTACTGTTGTTAAAGGGAGAGGGGACAGTAAGACACAGAACAAATGAAAGAAACACTGAGGTTTCTGGATCAAAGATCTCAGAGCCTGTGAGAGGAATATCTGGTGAGGATAATTTTCAAGTTCCAAACAGATACAAGTTTATCACTGAATTTTAATAATAATGTTTTGACTATTAAGAGCCACTACTAGGTCTGGCACATGCAAGTGATTAAGAATGATTAGGCGAATTGGAGATCTGGCCGAGCCAGGGTAGAGCATAGGGCAGGATGGCCAGTGTCCAGCTGGAGAAGTGCTGTAGTTGGAGGTGAAAGTGTGGAGCTCCTCAATGAGCAAGTGTACTGAGCGAAGAGCAAGGAAGGCAGAGGGAGCCCTGCGTAAGCATTTCAGAGAAGATTTAATAATGACTTAACTCAGTGGTAAAGATTTATTTATTTGTACATAAAGAATTGGGGTTCAGGCCAGAGGTACAGGGGCAATGAGAGGATTCACTGGAGACAGAGTGGGGAGCAGATCAACAAAAAACACTGCCGAGTGGAGCAGCAAGTGGGTCAGGAGAGGTCTGTTGGTCACCTCCAGGGCGGGGATCGAACTCATGTGGAAATGGCTTTAGCTTCTTAGTGCTGTGCTTTAACCCTCTGTGCCACCAGGGAGGGCCCTATCTGGACTTTTTTTTTTTAGCTTCAAGCTCTTACTTCTGGACTGGCAAACTTACTCTCATAAAAATTTTTAAAGATTTATTTATTCACACAGAACTGGGGTACAGGCCAGAGATGCAGAGGGTGAGAGGCTTCACCAGAGACAAAGCAGGGAGCAGAGCAGGCAGATCGACGAAGTACACTGCTGAGGGGAGCAGCGGGTGGGTCAGGACAGGTCTGCCACACCATGTGGATCTCCTCTGGGGCAGGCAGGGATCGAACTCATGCGGAAGTGGCTTAAGCTTCTTAATGCTGTGCTTTAACCCACTGCGCCACCAGGGAGGGCCCTCTCTCATAAAAATTTTTAGAAAACTTACCTATGTCTTGATTTTAGGACCATTACGATTGGGGACTTCGTGCTATTAAGTCTGTCTTGGTTGTAGCTGGCTCCCTGAAACGAGGGGATAAAAATAGACCTGAAGATCAGGTAAAGTAATATTAATAGGATTTTGTTGAATGAGTAGCTAAACTTCTTTATAAATGGTATACTTGGATGGTAAAACATGCCTTCCATGACTTTCAAAAAACACATATTTTCAATGAAGTATATTTAAAAAAAAAAAAAGATTATTTATGTGTACAAAACTGGGGTAGAGGCCAGAGGTGCAGGGGTAAGAGGATTCACCAGAGATAGAGCAGGGAGCAGAACAGGAAGACTAACAAAGTACACTGCTGAAAGGAGCAGCAGGGAGACAGGAGAGTTTGCTGTGCCATGTGGATCAGCTCTGGGGCTGGAGATTGAACTTGTGCTTCTGGGGCTGGTTTCATCGGGCTGCACTACAATCCATTGTGCCACCAGAGAGGGCTCCGCAGTATTATTTCAAAGAATGACATAAGAACATCACAAGTGTTCTTAAGTACCAGGCTATGAATATAAGTAAGAAAATGTGATTTTATAAGTGCTTTTGAAATATCAGTCACAGAAAGTATTTTGGCAGTCATAAAATAATTCAATAATTACTGCTTGATGTCCTCAGAGGGACATTTTGAAAATCTGATTGAGTCATTAATCCTGAAAATGTCATTGTAGACATAATCTAAAGGAACAAAGTATGTCCATTTCATGGGATTTAAGATGTGTATAAAGAATGGAGCTGGAAGGCGTGATCACCTAACACATAATAAGATGCCTCATAGGTTATTCAGGTCTGGTAGGAATGTGCTACTATCCCTTCTGGGAAAAACCAGTAGCAGCCATGCTGTGCATTTTTCTCTGAGTGGTGAGCGTGGTGGTGAGGTCCACTGTCTTGTCCATGCTTGTGGAATGACTTGAATGAAGTATTTTTATTAAAGATGTACTCATGTGAGTCTTTCTACATGTTTAAGGATATTTTATGTAAGTTCACTATTTCCAATATTTCTTTCCCTTCTCTGTCACAATTCATGTTTAGGTCAGATTTTCTTGCCTTTATTTTTCTCTTGTATTACTGCTGTTTTGAAACACTTTTTCTGTAAAAGTCATCCTATTGTTCAAATTACTGCTTTTCAAATATAAAAACCTTCTTTGGTTTGCAGCCAAAACAGAACAAAAACCCAAATGAAAAACCGTGAAGTTTATTATTTTGAAATTTTCAGAGTACTTTCTGCAAAATTATCTGACGGGCCTGTTTAATTTGCACACTGGAGTTTGAGGATTAAGGAGAAAAACATCTCAGACCCCATCTCAAAATCAACAATTGTTGGCAGGGAAGTAATTGCTCATGGTAGTCTGAGGTCATCGTGGTATAACACAGGCTTCTCATGATCTCACATGGGAACTTATAAACATGTTACCCCCTGAGAGGTAGAACACCCTCCGCATAAAGAACAGTATTGATAGCCCGTGCTTTCGATAGGGGATTTAAAAAATCATATCTTTAGTTGTTTAGATATTTCATAGACCTTGTACTGGCCTTTTTACAGTGTTTTCTCCTTTCTAGGTGCTCATGAGAGCTTTAAGGGATTTCAATATGCCTAAAATAGTGACTGATGACACCCCCGTGTTTTTGGGCCTGGTCAGTGACCTGTTTCCAGCCCTGGATGTACCCCGGAGGAGAGCACCACACTTTGAACAGATGGTCAGGCAGTCTACCCTGGAACTCCGCCTGCAACCTGAGGAAAGCTTCGTTCTCAAGGTAACAAGAACCTTGACTAGTTGGCAGTGAGAGCCCCTGGGAAGTGCAGTAGCAGTTAACTGTCGCTAGGGATACTGAGCCAGAATATCAACACAGGGAGGAGACTGGCCTTGCTGCCACCTTAATACGTACTTTAAAGGATTCCACAGTAAATATAAATATTTTGCACTCACAATCTACGTGGAAGTAAAAATACCAATATGTTCAAGTCTTGCTTTTAAATGTAAGCATGCTTTCCATTAGTTCATAAATAGTTCTTTTTGGTAACATGCAAAGATAATTTTGTTCCCTTTCTCTCCATATTAGAGAAAATTGGAAGTAAAATCATCAGTAATGCTTTAAGTGGGGAAGAAGTGTATGATACCATCTGACTTATTAGAGGTTGTACCTATGCATGCTCTGTATGGGTAGAGTGATTACATGACATTGAATTTCTATGGAGTCCATTTCAGTTATGCTAGAGGATCTGTCTTTATTCAGTTATAGATGGTGACTGGTTTTTGTTCAGTGTCATTGATGTTGGTAACTCCTGCCACCTACTAAGCACAACCAATCTTCAGTTCTGTCTGTGTCAGTGTTTCACTGTGTAATGGCTTTTCTTCATTCCCACACATGTACAGTACATGTTCTGTACTACTGGGTACAGGAGAAACTATATTTTGCATTTGTCACCTATTTTAACTTTCTCAGAACACATTGTTGTCAGTAGGGGGCTGGTGTGCATTGTAAAGAAAGAATTGGGCAAAAATGAGTGTTTTTGTGTACCACCAACTCTTTAAAGGGAATCAGTGACTGAATGTTTGCTGTGCAGGTTGTCCAGCTTGAAGAGCTGTTGGCTGTGCGGCACTCTGTGTTCGTGGTTGGAAATGCAGGCACAGGGAAGAGTAAGGTATGTGCCTCATCTGTTAGTCTCCACCACGGAAGGAACAACAAATTTTTGGCCTATTTTCAATAGTACCTAAAAGAGTTCCCTTCAGTGAGGTCCACCACAATTTGAGGTGAGACTCTGAGACCCTTGTATTGCTCTTTGATCAGTTCCCTCTATTTTCCTTTATATTGGGGACAAGGAAGAAATATAACAGAGAGGGAGATTGGACTTTCCATATGAAATTGTTAGCATCCTAGTTATGCATTTAGAAGTTTATCATTCCATTTCATGCAGTTTATACCTGGATTATGTTAGTCAATGTGAATATATTGATAGTCTCTGGATAAGACGCCTAGCTTATAGGATTGGATTGGCCCTATACACATTTATCACCGTGACTCTTCCCAAAACATTCTACATTATATTCCCCATCTTTAAGAAAAACACAAATGTTTCCTTCAATACTTGTGAAGTATAGCCCTCTATAGGGCCAAAACAAAACTTAAAAAGGAGTCAGCAAAAATCACACTTTTGAAGTACCTATCACGTATTATGCTAGGTACTTTATGTTAATACACTCCACACTACAGCTAGCTTGAAGCTGGTTGGTCTTACTGACAGCCCTGGCAACACACTTATTTTTTTGGTTAGATGTATATGCAGAGCTGCTTGCATTTTAACTTAGGCTGCTTGGTTATAAACATATTTAGTAGCCAATGGCTAAAAATAAGCAGAGTGGGCATAGGAGACTTTAGACCATGGGTGTATATGGAACTTGCGGCATTTAAAGCAGAGCCCAGAGTAGGACAATTATAAAGGGAGGGCCTATATAGGGATTTTTCTAGTGAAAAATATAATTGAAATAATAAAGTAGATAACTGATAGACCTGTAATTATTTTGTTAGAGTAAGTTTCAAATATAGGCCATGGTTCAAGGAAGGATAAAATTAAATTCTATAATTTCCAGTAGATTAATGGTTTCTAAAAATACAGCTTAATATTCCTAAGACATTCAATTTCCTTCATCTAATCTTCACTGATTCAGTTCTGTTCAACATTTACTCACACTGATCTAAGTAGAGCATCAGAGCACAGGGTCTTTTTTTAAAAATTTATTGTTATTAAAATTATTTGGCAATTGTTTATCCTCCTTCGAGCACTGTCAGCAGGTGAATATGATACATTGTAAGCTTAAGCCAGGACTTTGGAGGAATACAGACAGCATAGTTGAGTGGATATTTGCGTGAGGGTATCAACTAATGAAATGGACATGGGGTACCTATCCCGTGAGTTCCTATCCTCAAGGCCTCTTTTCCCCAATTATTTAAATCAGTTTTTCTCAGCACTAACACGTTGGACACTTTGTACTCTTGTTCTGCTTTTTGTTGTCGGGCCTGTTCTGTGCATTGCAGGGTGTTTATCAGCATCCTGCACTCTACCTTGAGGAACCTAGTAGGAGCAGCTCCCGTCCCCCAAGTCAACCCAGCCTCCTACTGAGACTCAGCACATCGAGATCAACAGTGTAGGCACCACTTGGGCCCTAATCAGAAATTCAGGTTACCAGTCCCACCCAGATCTACTGAATTTGGAGTCCTGGCCGGGGCCAGAAATCTGGAGTTTAATACTTTCTAAGTGATTCTGGTGCAGGCTAAATTTGGGGAATTTAAGTAATACAGGAAGAGTGGACTGTAATAATATGAACAGCACTTATATATAGTACTTCCCTTTGTGTATGTGATGACAGATCTCAAATGCTTAATTAAGTTCAAGGAATAAGCTGAATTGATCCTAAAGGATTATATTACAATTTTCAAGATGCACGCACAATTTTTCCCCCATTCCCAATTTTAATGTACACAGAATGCCTAGGAACAATAATAAGGAAACTCCTTTGGAAATCTTTTTGCATTCCTCTTGGCTTACATTGATATTAATTTTCTCAGCTATTTTCCTTTCTCTCTTCAGATTTTGAGAACACTGAACCAAACATATGTTAACATGAGACAGAAACCCATTTGGAATGACTTAAACCCTAAAGCTGTGACAACAGATGAACTCTTTGGTTTCATACATCACGCTACCCGAGAATGGAAAGATGGCAAGTAGTAGTTTCCCTTTTGCAATGCTAAACATGTCTTTTTTTTCTCCCCAGAAAGCCTTTCTCAGCTCAAGTCAATTTTAGTCACAGGTGTAGATTTACTGTTTATGTGTTAGTGTTATTGGAACTATAACGGATCACAACGGCATTTATAACCTATAAATTAAAACTCAATTTGAATAAGGTGTTGATTTGCATTCAGCAGATTCATGCTCAGAGCCGTGTATTTTATCCCACATCAATTATGTCAGGATTCTCAGTAAACCAGAAGAGAAGTCAACCTATAAACACCTCAGGAAACATTTATAAAGGGCCTGATATGAGACATTTTCAAACAGGCACTGTCCTAGGAGACTGGGACAAAAGTCAGTGGGAGATGGCACGTGCCTTGAGTGTATTTACTGACAAATGTCTCTCTCGGTTAAAACCTCTTACTTCCATTTCAGAAATATCCCTAACCTTGGTGTCATCTTTGAGTCCTTGCTCACTGTCACTCCCTACATGCACCTCACAGGACGCTATATCCTTTCCCCTTAAAATACATGTTGTATTCCAGAACTTCTCACCTTATCCACAGTTGCCACATTAGCCCAGGCCACTGTCACATTTTGGATGCTCTACATTGATTCTTTACACTGGAGATGGCTGTTTCATAATGTTATTTCCCTGCTTGAATTTCCTACCCTTAGAATCTAACCTCCTCCCAAGGTCTAGAAGGCTCCTCTGAGTTGAGGTCCTCCTTCCCCATCGCTCCCCTTACTTCCTGTGCTCTGCTTGGGCCATATAATCCATTCACTCTTGCCCCTTTACTTTTCCTGGAATATGCCAAGCATTTTCCCAGTCAGGGCCTATGCACTTGATGTTCTATCACCCACCCGCAGCCCCACAGTTAGCATGCAGTCTGCTCCATTATCTGATTAGGGTGTGTAGTCAAACATCACATGAGAGACTGCGCTGCTGCTCTTGTGTGTACAGCTATGCTACGTCATTCCTCATCCTTTTGTGGCAAATATGCTATTTCTTAACATTATTTCACTAAATTTGCTTAGTTTGACTTTTTTTTTAAAGGACTCTGGCAGTCCTTAAGTATTCATTGATGCTGAAAATCTGGAAATTGCTCAGATCAGTGACCATTAGAAAAGACACCGGCTTTTTATGACTCATGGTAGCAGGTCCTACTCCTGTTGATTATTTTTGCATGGAGTACTTCACAGAAGAAATAAAGCTTCCACATATATGTGTCAAACAGTTTTTCTCAATGTGTACTTGAATTTGAAAAGCAAGGAATCATTCAATAGTCCATGTAACACACACAATGCTTAGGCATATAGTACTAGCAAAAATAGACTATGGATTTAAAATGTTTTTACCTATACATCTTGTTAACATAAGGCCAGTGACTGTTTCTCAAATTAATGGATAGCACTTGGAATACTTGAACTTATGGTCCTTCATTATTATTATTATAGAAAGAAGGAAATAAGTGAAATAAACTAAAATAGATCCTGAATGCATATCCATGGAAAAGGATAATGTCTTTATTTTGTGTAAGTTTTGAGTTTTATATAAATTACCTTTTAGAAATGTCACAGCTATTCCTCATGCAGACGCTTAGACATAGAAGTTAAGGAACCTTCTCACAGTTACTGTGTGTTTCTACCAGAGAGAGACAGCAAATTTATAAATAGCACAACTCTTATACTTTAGGATTGTGTACTCAACTTACAGGTCTCTTCTCATCCATTCTGCGAGAACAAGCAAATCTTATGCATGGTGGACCCAAGTGGATAGTCCTGGATGGAGATATTGATCCCATGTGGATTGAATCACTAAATACTGTCATGGATGATAACAAGGTAACACCTTAAGGCTAAGCCTTTTAAAAAAAAATGGTTTATTTACATATGCATATAAGAGCTGGGATGCAGGTGAGAAGTAGGGGGACCATGAGAGCATTCAACAGAGACAGAGTAGGGAGCAGATCAGGCAAACCTGCTGAAATACACCGCTGAAGGGAGCAGCAGTCAAGCAAAAATTCTCCTGCAACATATGGGTCAGCTTCCTGGTCAGGGCTCGAACTCAGGATGCCACAATGACTGACAATAGCTTGGTAGTACTGAGACTTTAATCCCTACAAGGCTCCATTTACTGCTTTTTGAACTAAGACATTGTTCATCATAAAATATAGGTCTGAAATCTTTATATTTGTGTGAGTTTCTATATGAAAATGATACTTGTGGTATTTCAGAGTCAGACAAGTTTGTGTTTTGTGGCATGCAGACCTTTGCATGTAATCAGCTTTCAGAACAAGTATTTAATTTCTGGCTTAGCAACAATGTCCAGTTACTTAAAGGTTGACACAGGAATTCCTGTTTGCAAGTTTGTTCTTCAGGGGTCCATGAAGCCCCTCCTGGCTGAATTGAGAGCTTTATTTCATGTGTACCTTCAGCCCGGACTGTGAGTGCAGAGCCTATGGTACTTCCCATGGAGAGTACCTTGTGGCGTATGGTAAGTGGGCAGCTCCCCTCTGCTCCTGAATGACCAGGCCTCTGTGCTCCAACTAGGTGCTCACCTTGGCCAGCAATGAGCGTGTAGCCCTCACTCCCTCCATGAGGCTGCTCTTTGAGATTCATCACTTAAGCACAGCGACCCCAGCTACTGTTTCCAGAGCTGGTATTCTGTATGTGAACCCACAAGACCTGGGCTGGAATCCGTGAGTCTGTCTTTTTTTATTATTATTGTTAATAGTCACAATGTAAAATTTACTATTTTTGGCCTTTTTATTACACAGTTCAATGGCACTTGTACATTCATATCGTGCAGCCATTATGATCATTCACATCCAAAGGTTTTTGCATCTTCCTAAACTAAACCTCATACCCGGTAAATAGTAAGACCCTAATCTTCCCTGCCCACAGTCCCTGGTGACCATCTTTCTTCTTTCCACCTCAGTGCAATTGGAATTCTTTTGGCATCTCAGAACTGGAATCATACAATGATTGTCCTTTTATGACAGCCTTGTTTCACCAAGAACAATGTCTTCAAGGTTCAGTGTTCTAGTATGTGCTAGAATTCCCTTTTAAGACTCAGTGATATTTCATCACATGCACATACCACACTTTGCATTGCTGTTCATTGTTGGTGGACACTTTGTCTGCTTCCATCCTTTGGCTGTTGTAAATAATGTTTCTGTGAACACGAATATATAACTATTCGTGTTGGAGCCCCAACTTTAAATACTTCCGGGTATATTCCTCTAAGTAGAATTGTTGGATACTATGGTAATTCTACTTTTATTTTAAGGAATCAGTATACTGTTTTTATTCCCACCAGCAGTACACAAGTTTCTCCATACCCTCACCAACATTTGTTCTTTTCTATGTTTTTTAAATTTTTTTAAGAATTGTCATTTATATTTTTAATAAGTTTTTATTTATTCATAAAAGAGCTGGGGTGTAGGCTAGAGGTCGGGGGTGGGGGGCAGGTGAGAGGACTCACCAGACACAGAGTGAGAAGCAGAACAGGCAGATGTCATGAAACACATTGCTGAGGGGAGCAGCGGGGGAGACATATGTCCTATGTGGATTAGCTCCCTGGCGGGGGATCGAACTGGTGCTGCAATGGCTGCTGATAGCTTCCCATTGCTGAGATTTAACCCTCTGCACCACCAGGGAGGCCTTCCATGTTTTTAATATAGCCATCCTAACGTGTGAAATGGCACCTCAGTGTGGTTTTCACTTTTACTCTTCCCTAATAATTAATCATGAGGGTGAGAATCTTTATTAACTTGTGAGTCATTTACAATTCTCTGTAACTCTAGGGTGACATTTTTACTTTATATTACAAATGCTTCGCTCATCCTCCACCCAACTTCCCATGCCAATATCCTATCACCTCCCTCCTATACCCCTCTTACTCTCCCTGTCCCCTCCAGTAAACAGTAGTTTTCACAAAAGTGTGAATTGTTTTCACTTTGTTTTGCTGTATATAGATTTTTGTTATTTTTATGTTCCACAGATAAGTGAAACCATCCAATATCTGTCTTTCACTTTCTGACTTATTTCACTTACCATAATCACTTCAAGATGATTTTGTTCCAAAAGGTGCTATTTTGTCTTTTGAAATAGCTGAGTAACATCCCATTGACTATATATTCCACAATTTCTTTTTCCGGGTGGCCATTGATGGCTACTTATGTTGGTTCTATGACTTGGCCATTATGGAAAAGGCTGCTCTGAACACAAATGTGCATAAATCTCTTCACTTATTGGCCTTTATTATATTTTCTTTGTAGAAATGTCTATTTCAGCTCTTTGCATATTTTTTATTCTAGTAGTTTGGGGGCTTGGGGTTGTGAATATTCCCTTCTTTTTTTTTTTTAAAGATTTATTTATTCATACAGAACTGGGGTACAGGCCAGAGGCTGAGGGGCGGTGAGAGGCTTCACCAGAGACAGAGCAGGGAGCAGAACAGTCAGATCGACGAAGTACACTGCTGAGGGGAGCAGCGGGCGGGTCAGGAGAGGTCTGCCACGCCATGTGGTCACCTCCGGGGCAGGCGGGGATCGAACTCATGCAGAAGTGGCTTTTAGCTTCTCAGTGCAGCGCTTTAACCCGCTGCGCCACCAGGGAGGGCCGAATATTCCCTTCTTTAAGGGAATATTTCTAGGTTTTAAAAATTAACAACATCTATATGATTATTAGAAGAACATATTGATAAATTAATTAAATTAGGGCAATTTACAGTTAGCACTTGTGTGGGTTTGTCATTTTTTTCTTTTTGGATGGTTTACCTTTCTTTATCCCATTTCATACAACTATTTTGTAGAATAAAAAAGCATCTATTGCAAAGGTATGCCAACCCAGTCTTGTCATTTTTACTTGGATACTCCTCTATTCACACTTTGTGTGTAGCATTTTTTGAATAAGTGAAAAATAGTAACAGTATGTGGATGTACAGGTATGTGTTTTAGTGAGCTGAATTTGTGTGTCTCTGTGTGTGTATATACAGGCATGCATGAACAGTGGTAATGCCTTGATTTAGGGCAAGATTTTGTGCCCACCTCAAATGCATGCACTTCAACCATTCATCCCGGCAGTCCCCTCTCACCTCGGCCTACATTCCATCTGTGAGCTGCAGGCAGATTCAGGGCTGCAGTGACTGTGTGTTTGTGTCCAGTATGCTGCAGCTATCCGATGCCTGCAGTGTCCCCTCCACACTGTCTGCCCGCGACTGTCCTGCAGGCTCCATGGCAGTGGGCTCCTTGCCCTCCGGCTGCTGGGTGATTTGGCCAATGAGGAGCCCTGGCAGGAAATGAGAGGGAGAGCAGCGAGTGAGGTCAGGCTATTTATTTTCCTGGCTGCCTCCCTGCCGGGTCACCTCAGGATGGCTCTGTGGCGTCAGGTCCTAGCTCCTCTTCAATCTCTCAGGAAGATTGTTCCCCTCCCTGTTCTGTAGTCCTTGACAGGACAAGGTGCAATGACATGCCTCAGTCTGGCCCCTGGCTCCGCACGCTCCCTTGCAGTTTCCCTGCCCCCAGTAGCCTGTTGCTGACCCTTCCTATTATCCTAATTCCAGTATGGCATCTGTTCCCTGCCAGACAACCTGACTAATTTCCTTCTCTGTGCTGCTTTTTATTGTGTCATATTTGCTCAAGAAATATCACAGCCCTTAGCTGTTAGAAGAGGGCCATGCCCAGACTTTCATGCAGAACAAAGCTTTATTGAATTTTGCTGAGTGTCACAGTGACTTTAAGGTCTAAAGTAGAGCATTCTTCTTGGGCTCATCACTCCTATACACTCCTGTACTGAGAGCAGAACGTTACCAAACCCATTTCTTTCAAGGAACCACTTACCCACTACTGAGTGTGGTCTCAGAGTTCCCAAGGCCCACTGAATTTAATTCAGTAACTGCTGACTTGTGTGGAGATTTTTTAAGAACAAAAGCTGGCGAAAGCTATTTTTAGCATTTTTATCTATTTAAAGAAAGACTTTGTCCCATAAGTCAAAGGTTGCAGTTTGGCTAAGGGCACACCCAATTTGTATTCCCAAGAAAGGTAAACAACTCTTAACTTTGCCAGTCAGTTTGATTTTGATAAAGGTCTGTGTAGTAGCCGAGACCAATGGGCAGGTTAGAAGTTTCAATTATGTGACCAGAGTCCTTCCAGGTCATGTTCCAAAATAATAGGAATCCTATCTTAAAAAATTTTGTTTTCATCTCCTACTGCTAGAAACTTATTATAAGCTACAAAAGCATGACTATTTCAGGTTGGGGAGTAATTTTTTTTCTCTTAACATTGGGCACTTCCTTGGATATCATTCTGCTAACAATGTAATAGCTTCACAGGCATTGATACATTTAATTCTCAATTGCCTTCTAAACTTGATCTAGCTATTAACTCAAGTTTTCAAATCAGTATCTTGGCATTTCCAATTTCTCCAACTTTTATATTTCAAAGTATTCAAATTGCAGATGAGTTGGAGACACTACCCTGCCATATACTCTTCTTCTACCCTAATTGTTACCATTTTACTCTGTTTTTCACTCTATCTGTAATGTATTTTCAACCATAGAAATGTTTTCTCCTTTTGTTATTTTACTGAATTATCTGAAAATATGTGGAAGACATTATGACACTTCATTCCTGTGTACTTCGGCATTTATCCCCTAAGAACTAGGATCTTCTTCTACATGAACACAATCTAGCAACACATTTAAGAAGTTTATCCTTGACACAAAATTTCATTTTTTCAGTAACCCCAGTAATTTTCTTTGTAGCCTTTTCAAAATCTAGCATCAAAGCAAGATCTCGCATTGCATGCACTTTTCTCTATTTTTTACTGCGATTTAAGAACATCCCTCCAGTTTTTTCTTTCATGACATTGACAGTTTTGAGGAGAACAAAGCCAGATGTCTCAAAGAGTCACCCACCAGTGGTTCCAAAGTGCTGGTTTCTCACTTGAATCATTCTATCTTCAATTTTAAGTGACAGATTTCTATAAACAACTCTTTCTCTTCTTCCCCCAGCTTCTCCCCTTCCTCCCTCTCTTCCCTTCTCCCCTCCCTCCTTCCCCTTTCTTTTTGCAGAATACCATTTTCTGTTTATGCTTTTGCACTTCGTTCAGTGAGCATGTTCACAACCAGCTTACTGTTTTTGATGCTCTAATGGTCGCAGCTCTCTCCCAGTAGCAGCCAGCCCTCTGTGTTCTCTTTAACCTGTCCTCCCATGTCCTGGCTCACCTTGCTTGCCGGCTCGTATTTGCTATGCTAAATGTCTTGTTCCTGGCCTGCTGAGGAGTCCCTTGCCTGATTCAGGCAATGGCCTGTTTCAGCAATTTCTTCAAGGTGCCTGAAGAGACTAGATTTTATAAAAGGTGTAAGTGGTATTTAGAATTCAAGGTAGGGGCTCGAGGTGTGCTTCCTACTACTGCTGTGTCATTGCTCTTAGGCCCTTTCACTGAGTAGAGTTAGGAAATACATTTCCTTTATATTACAGGAGCTGCAGGAGCTGGTAAGGTGACATGGATAGAAGAGATTATAAAATACCATGGTCACAGTATCTCTGTGGTATCCCATTTAAGGACTAAGGAGAGTGCCATTATCACTTTAGCTTCTCAGAATACTTTTGTTAAAATTCACTGAGCTATTTTTTTTAAAAAAAGATTTGTGCATACAGAACTGGGGTACAGGCCATAGCTCAGGGGTGGCGAGAGGCTTCACCAGAGACAGAGTGGGGCACAGAGCAGGCAAATCGACGATGTACACTGCTGAGGGGAGCAGCGGGCGGGTCAGGAGAGGTCTGCCACACCATGTGGTCACCTCCGGGGCAGGCAGGAATCTAACTCATGCGGAAGTGGCTTTAGCTTCTTAGTGCTGTGCTTTAGCCCGCTGTACCACCAGGGAGGGCCTCACTGAGCTATTTTTAATAATAATTTTATGTCTACACTTTGCAGATATGGTGTCTATCAGGACAGACAATATCCTTAAAATCACATCAGCATGTACCTAGCTGCAGAAACCAAATTCCATTTTAATTCTGAGTTTACTGGAAGAATCCTGGACAGTTCATGTATGTCTGGTAAAATCTTGGGAAATGAAAAAGCATGGGAATTAGACAATTTCTGAAAGCTAGGATCAGTGAGAATGTTTTCCATGAGACAGCAATGAGCACGCATAGAAATTGGGAAAACATATAGGCATGGGTTTCTTAAATTCATTCATAATAATTTAAATTACAATTATTCAGCTGTAACACTGAAAGAGGGTTCTACCAAGTGATGTGGCATCAATACTCAGTGCATAACATATGACAGGAAAGGATGGGAGCAGCTGTGGAATTTGGTCTGATTCCATAGGAGATTACTGCTGAAGATTACGTTTTAGAAGCCACAAGGTAACATCACAGATTTTCCTCTGTTGCTTGTTTAAAGTGCTTGGGTTTATGTCTCTAATTCTCTCACCTTCATTGGGTGACTTACTGACTTCTACCCCTGACATCCCATTCATTCACCACTGAGTATTGCCTGTATTTATAAACATACAGGTTCAGAAATTGTAGGCAAACATTGCTGATCACAGTGTTCTAACTTTTTCCATTTTTCCAGGCTGCAGAGAACAGTAGAGAAGCTGAAGCTTGTTGTGAGGGGCAAGTCATTAGTAGCTCTGATGAAATTCTGCTGTCCTTTATGACAGGATTATAATCCCAGAGGGTCAAACAATGGGCACCCGTTTTCAGAAGGCTGAAAACTGGCTGCCGGGTTTCCAAACCATAGGGTTTTTGACTTCACATGATGCTCTTACAGCTCCTCTGAAAGAGAGAAGAGCAACATAGCTTGCTATGTGAAAAATATTTGCAAATGCAGTTGAGCCAAAGAGTCTTTGTGTGTGACCCAGATATAGGCAATTAATTAGTTGATGCACTAAAGAATAGAGATGTTGCTATTTCCTGAGGCAGGGATGCAATGTAATTGATCTCTTATGTGAGCAAGGAAAAAATAAAGCATTCTATGTAGTGTGTCATTTTCAGTTGCATGTAATGTGACAGGAGTATGTTTCACTTGGTCATGAAGAAATCTGTATACCATCCTTTAAAAGTAAAGAATTTTTTTAGTGAAGTAAGGTAGAGACTGACCGACAAATGCAGATTTATAGCTGTAGCTTTTGCCAGATTCTGATTTCCAGATTTGCTATCTTTCAATGTCTATTTTTGTTCTGAACTATACATGAAAATGCAAACTTTCTGTATTTTCAAATAAAATGCTTTTCAAAATAAAGTGCATCCCATGTGGCATGGTTCACTTCCCAGAGAGATCATTCAGGGGCTCGTTTTGGACAAAATTAGCTCTTACTGTCTACTAGTTTGCTTGAACTCACCTCCTTGCTGGAGCAGCTCCTTCAAGGAGCTGATTTGTACAAGAGCATCCTGTGTGGTATGTTCCTCTGTGAGACTTTAGCTGCTGCTGGTCTAGCTCAAGGACATAGGGTTTTACCTCTCTGTCAGTTGCCAAGTCCACATCCCTTTCGGGGCTACATGATGGCTGCTGCTCCCGGTTGTCCCGGCTGGTTCTCTGAGCCCACAGAGTACTGAGGAAACTGTCAGGAGTTTGAGAAGGGTTTGTTCCACCACCTGGATGCCAGCTCCTGAGTGCTACTGCATGCTGCTGCCTTTAGAAGCTGCACAGAGAGGCAGGGCCAGAACTAAACCTTGCTCTCCCAGTTTCACTAACTGTGCTATTGAATCTGTTGAATCACATTTATCAGAAGTTTGGTATGTGTCAGATAATTAATCTAAGCACTTAACTGAGAACTCATTTAACCCGAACTACTGTGGGAGGCCCATATTATTGTTTATCACCACTGGCAAATGAGAAACTTGAGAGACAGAAAGATTAAGCAACTTGTAACAGTTATAAAATGATGGGACTTGTATGCAGACCCAAGCAATCTGATTTTGGAGCATCATCACCATCAGCCACACACACGTGCACACACGCCGCATGCACAAACCCACTGCACACACACACTACACACACTCCACACGTACACATACTCTGCACACTAGGATTCCACTTCTGACAGCCGATTCACAATAAAATTGGTAGCTGAGGGCTAAGTGCGGCCTCGTACCTTCATGACCCCAGAAAATAACCCTTTGCGTCCCTTTGTTCCATGGTGCTCGCATCACCAGCACTCATGATGCTCTCAGGTTAGAACCCTGCTGTTGGACTTCCACTGGAAAATGCTGCTTTTGGACTTGAAAAATGTTTTTAGCAGTTGACATTTTATAAATCTAGCCATAGTATAAAGGTACTTGAAAATTTAATGAAACCCTGTTGTGACACCTTGTGAAAATCAAAGGGAGTGTTTTGTTAGATAATCATCTTGCCTTTATTTCTTCTGATATTCAGAATGTGATATCTGATTGGTGTAAAGCAAGGTCTGCCTCTAATTGGTCTGCAATCACATTGCTTCTCTGCTGGCAGCTAAATGTATATGTCATCATACTTCTTACTTGATGGAATTTTTCATTTAACATCATATGACTTCTTCCCAGTGACTACTGTGTATACCACTAAGTCAGGCTTAATTTTATTTATCAGTTACATTTTACTAATATGTTAGATATTGCTCTATGTACTCTATCAAAACTGATAACAAACTTCCAATTAGTGCAATGTACCCAAGCATGAGATGCCATTCTAACCACTTATTAGAAAAGTATTATCATCTATCATGTTAAAATCATGTTCAACTCAGTGGAAAAGAAGAAACTTTGGAAAAGAAATAGCCCCTATGTAAGTTTCATCTTATTATTAGTAACTGATTTCTCATTTCTAATAATTGATGCCAAGAATAATCATAAGCAGTTTTCATAAATAAAATTTACCCTATGAAAATAGTTTCAGTCGCTGAGGAAATGGCAAACTGTACTCCCCTATAAATGCTCAGTAATGGCCTACTTATACTCCATTATGTTTGGCTTCGAAGTGCTATTAGGAGTTTCTTTTACATTCTTTTCATTAAATTACAAATGGCCATTAAAACAAGTTTTTAAAGGGTCACTTAAAAATATTTGCCATTTGAGAAATAGAATGAACTCACTAAACATGTCCCTGAAGTATTGCACCAAGCTGTGTCGAAGGGGGGAGCTTTTGAATTCATAAAATTCTGCTTTTCAAGCCTAGTGTTCAATAAAAGCTTCCCTGTGTTCTTTTACAGGTATGTGGCCAGTTGGATAGACAGAAGGCGGCATCAGTCAGAGAAGGCCAATTTAACTATTCTTTTTGATAAATATGTTCCAACATGCTTGGATAAGCTGAGAACAAGCTTTAAAACCATCACTTCAATCCCAGAGAACAGCCTGGTGCAGGTTTGTCTTCAGTTAGACCATTTGATATTCTGGGTCTGATGTGGTGCTGTGGCTTGGTCAAGACAATAGAAAGTATTTGATTGTTTAAGAAAAGGAAAGATTTCTGGAGTTGTTAGATTGCTTCAACTCTCCTCTGTAGTCCCCATGTCCTCCAGTGCTGTTTACAAGCCTCCATCACAAACCTGTCCCATTCAATTATCATTTAGAATTGTGGCCTGCTTCTTTCACAGGATTGTGAACTGGAAGGCCTCAAGCCATGTTCTATGCTCCCCGGAGATTTACATAGTTCCCTGCACACAGTGGGGCGGGCCGAGAATGTGTTCACTGAGTCATTGTGCTCCTCTCAAGTGTGTTTGAATAGAAGAAATAAGCTGTAACTGCCTTATTTCTCCCTCTCCTCTGTAACTGGCCCAGAGAAGGTCCTTGGTGTGTTTCATGAATAAAATAAAGTCACACAATTAAAGGTATTAGCCACTGGATAAAAGCAAGCTTCTGAACCCTGTCCTATAGTTGCTACCACCCACAGATTTTCTCCCACTCCCCAAAAATGCTTTTAAAGGCAGGTCAGTCTAGATGGGGAATCCATCGTCCTGGGGACACCTTTTTTTCTGATCTTCATAGTGAGGCCACTGGGAAGTATGAGGGGTATATATGATATGTTGTCATGGAAACAAATGAAAATAATATACAGCATACAGAAATGAAGGTTATGATTTAATCTCAGCATGAGAAAAAACTATCTCTACCCTTTCTAAGTATAAAACTCCACAAAGGGTTTACAATTAGAACCTTGTATTTTTTCCTATAGGAGCAAAATCAGTTTCTAATTACTTTGTTACCATTAAGTTACTATGTTACCAAATTTGTTTGACGCTAAATTAGACATAGTCACAAGCATAAAAAGAAGAGAAAGTTCAGGTTTTTGGATAATTCACACACCAATTAAGTAAACGATAGTCTTCAACAGTAATTATCTGAGGTATAATTTATTTCTGAAAGCAGGTCTGAATTTTTTCATAATGAATTAATTATGTGGTTAGCCTAATTAGACTTCCTCTGGTGTAATACTTGCAAAAAAGCATGATGGTATTCTTTTTCGAGTTCACTTGTGTGTTTGTGTGATTCTCTGTGGTGTGAACTTTTCATTCAAGAGTCATGTGAAGTAGGTCAGAAGGAATTAATATGACTTTTGCTCTCATTTCTTCTGTTTCTAGGATTCAGAATAGCATTTTAGCCTTAGCTTCACTTTAGTTTTTATAGTTTCTTTTCTGTGTTTACTTATAAGGACCAAATTTGAGACCAAAAAAAAATGGATATACAAGAGAATAGCTTGAAACGGCTGCTTTAGCTTGCCCTTTGCTATGGTTGGTGTTGCTTCCTACTTTAAGTAGATGTGCCTACAGAGGGTATCCCCAACCCCACAATGAGGAAGTGTGTTACACGTGTTCCAGACCTACACAGTAGGCACAGGGGAGGCACTCGGTACATCTTGTTGACTGACTGGACAGGTGAAATCTCACAGCCCTGTGTCCTTTAATGAGAGCACCTTCTGAGAAGTGCATCGCTAAGTCATTTCGTCATGCAGAAGCCAGAGTACAATCACACAAACGTAAAGGGGAGAGTCACTGCACATGTCAGCTCTGAGAGTATTGGTCACTGTATGCTGTCTGTCCTGGATGTCACCTGTCACTGCCCGAACACCCTTATGTGGCACATGACCTGTGCTGCCTTAGTCTACCATTTTCCAGACCAACTGCTTTTGAGCCACTACTCATGTGGGTGTCTGTGGGGGCTGCACAGACTTGAGGTTCCTGGGATCCTGAGATAGATGGGGTCCTGAACTTTGGAGGAAATGAATCTAGAAGATAGGAAGGGAGTTGACCTGGGTGTATCAGGATTTGGGTAGAAGGGGAGAGGCTGAGGGTAGGACCAGGAATCTTTTATAAACTCTTATACTTACAGACTGCCCTGGCTGGGCTGCCTGAAGCCATCAGGTTTTCAGGAGCAGATAGCATGGGAAGCCTGCGATGTGACACCCACAGAAAGGACCAGCAGTACCAGGCCATCCCCTGGTGCACTGGCCCTGGAGAGTTTGGAAATGAAACTTTGACCCTTTTTGAAGTGTGCAGGCCACTTTGAGAGTCTCAAAACCCTTCTCTACCTTCCCCCAGCTCTGAAATTAAATAAAACGGCACTTTACAAAATGATATACACTGTTTTCTAGTACATGAAGCATCTTTGCTTTAAGTTTGGTAAAGTGTATTAATTCTTTCAGAAAAATGCCCCCACATATGCTTAATTTTCTATTTCTTCAAAATATTTTCCAAGTATTGGGAGAGCAGGAATGTCATGTACGTCACCAGTGTTCAGGTGACTGCCTGATGCCACATTGATACCTACCTAATAGTCATTTTGCAGTTCCTTTTACCAACATGGCTTCTTGGAAAGGGCAAAGCCTCAGAGTTTTACATGATTTTTTTGTGATAACATCAGTGATTTTTATTCTATTAGAATATTGTATTAAGTGGGCAAACATAGCACAATATAAAATAATAGAAATCAAGAGAAATCAAATAAGCACTCGACTGTTTTAATTAAACACTTCTTTCCAGGACCCATTTTCCATATCTCTGTGAATTTTCCCTACCTTTCCCGGCAGAGGGGGGAAAAGGAGTACTCAATCCTTCCTCCCTTTGTTGCGTATAAATGATAGCGCTGAAATGTATTGCTGTCATTAATAACTTGGAGAAGGGTATCATATAGTATTGGGGGCTTGTGGCAGTGCGTTGATGGTGATTGTGTGCTTTAGAGAACTCATCTGACCTTATCTCACACTGGAAAGCCCTCAGAAGCAGCCCTGACCCCTCAGAGCTGAACTGAGCTGGAGTGTGCTTTGAGCCGACAAAAGCATAGTCCCATTTCACCTGATTGTGTGAAAAACATGTTCCTGAATTTCTCCAAAGGTTAGTTTAGGATGGCATCCAAAAAAATGCCACAGGCTAAGGCTTCCAACCTGATTCTCTAAATTTATGACAACAGACAGGAGTAGTGGGAGCCGAAACACTAAAGGAAAGTGAGTTATATTAATACCCAATGAGAGGCAAATAGATAAATAAATGCCAAGATTCAGTGGAATCTTGTGCACTCATTCCTCATGATTTATAAGAGTGTGAAACACTCATGGGGACAGAGGTCTTGAGTTTGTTTTTAAATAGCTGTAGAATACTATGTATAATAACATTGCCCTTTAAAGAGTTGGGGATAATTCAGAGACATTACTCGGAGGTGGGAGGAAGAAAATGGTGTAAAGCGGGTGGGAAGAACGCAAGGGACTGTGGTGACAGTGCATGGGTGAACTGGCAGTGGAGCTCTTTGGGGACCAAACATGAGTGGACAAAATGTATGAAAATGAAAAATGATGTAAAAAATACATACAATTGAAAAAAATAAAAGTTGGGGGAAATTATATGCTCTCTTAAATTTGGGGGCAGGGGGAATCTAGTGCATGTAGTCTCTTGTTTAAAAAATGTTGCCCTCAATGAGTGGCTATTTCTTGTCCTTTAGACTATTTGTGCTCTTTTGGAATGTTTATTGACGCCTGAAAATGTACCTTCTGACAGCCCAAAAGAAGTTTATGAAGTGTATTTTGTCTTTGCTTGCATCTGGGCATTTGGTGGCACTCTGCTGCAAGATCAGGTAGGTTTGGCCACAGTTTACACAGTCAGTTTTTCTTGGGTGGGAAATACCATGGAGTCCATTGGTTTTGTGCATGATCACAAGCTATCCTGCCTGCCGTATACTCTCCTAAGCCTGTGCATTTCTCGGCCAGCTCCTCCAGGTGATAGAGCTAACGTGGACTGCCAGTATCAGATCACAGCCTTCTACCTGCTCTCAAGAGAGGCTCTGTGTCCTCCCCCTTAGCAGGGCAGATAGTGAGCTGTTCCCCAGGGAGAGCCCACTCTCTAAGTGCTTACCCCCCACCTTTTCTCCACTTTATTCTCCTCCATGATACTTTCATTCCTCCCAGTGGCCCTGGGAGCATTACTCCTATTTGATGTCCCATGGTTTTCCACTTCCTTCAGTGTAATCTGCTCCCTCTTCTCCATCTCTGCAGCTTTCACTCAGGAGTCTCCTCTTTAGGTTGGTCTGGGCTATCCTAATGTCTTTGCTTAGTCTGCTGTAACAAAATACTATGCTGGGTGCCTTGAAGAGCAGAAATTTATTTACTCTCAGTTCTGGAGGCCAGAAGTCCATGATCAAACTGCTAGCTAGCAGGGTCAAGTTTGGCCCTCTTCCGGGCTTGCAGAAGGCTGCCTTTTCACTGTGACTCAGGTTGCAGAGAGACATGAAAGCCTCTGATGTCCTCTGGGGCTCTCATCCCACCAAGAAACAATTACCTCCCAGGTCTGTATTTCCAAAAACCTTCACAGTGGGGATTATGCATTAGCATATGAAATGGGGGTGTATCCAATTCAATCCACAGCATTCAACCTTCCCATTGGCTTCTCATCTCTAGTCTCTTACCACCAGTCAGTCTCACACAGGATCCCCAGAGTAATTAATTAAACACCTTCACCCAGCCCCCTATTCCTTTCCACTGGTCCTTACTTTAGCTTAAAATGAAGTTATGTCTGTACAACATTCCCCTCTTAGCCCGGTTGTGGCTTCTGTGACCTATGAGTAAGCTCTTGAAAAAAGGACTTGACAAGTATGCATGCGTGCACACACACACACACACACACACACACACTGCTTAGACTTGCCATAGTGTGAAGTGGAGTTTAACTAGAAATTTGTGCAAATTTCTAAATCTTATATCCATCATACATCGCTGTATATAGCTTTTCCACTGTTATCTTTATAGTAATCCTTCAAGGTGTCCTCTCTGGGCACAGTCGTCAAGCCCAGAGAGGTAATCTAACATGCCTCAAATTGCACCAGCAGGAACTGACAAGGGTTCTCGCCAATGCTGATTGTCTCCACACCTCCTACAGTATTTCCCAACCTTGTGTGACCATAGTGTTTACACAGAAACCCCTGAATCTTTGCATTAAAATTGGGTGGCATACATCTCCTGCGCTTCCCTGAGTGTTTGAAGATATAAACAGGGTTTACACAGGAAGACATCACAGCCAGGAGTGACCCACATTTCCTTGGTTTACTGGCTCTAGGTCCTAAAATACATGTTTGTGCTAACCTGTGGGCAATTCCACTTCTGTTTCTAGGTTACCACAAATCATACCTATAAATAAATCTGGTGTTCACATGGCATCCTAGATTTTATTTCAACCCTCTCAGAAGCCAATTTTTCTTCTGTAATATCCAAGTGCTTTCTAAAGAATGCTATTTGAGTAAGAATCAAGTATCAGTGTAGGGTGTCTTCATGTGGGTTTCCTTGAAGGCACAATTTACAACATGTGCATTTCTCACTCACTGAGGCCGCATGCAGAATCTTCCCAGTCCCATGTTTCTTGTGTTTTTTTTTCCCCTTCTTTCCACACCCCCGCCCCTTCCACAGAGTTTTTCTTTTCCAGGATTGTAAAACCAGTTCTGGTTGTATGAGGGAGATGGACAGCTGGGATCCTTCTGTTCCCAGTCCTTACTCTCAGCTCCCTATCAGCTGATCCTCTTGCTTTCTTCACAATTTGCAAACATGGAACTCTCCCACTCCATTGTTCAAGCCAGAAGCTGGGACCTTTTTCTCCGAGGTGTTCTCTACCTAAATAACAGTCAATGTCATTGCCATCAAGTATTCAAAAGATCTCTGGGACACATTCATGAGAGTGCTATGATGTGAATGAATGTAGAGTGTGCATATGAGTGAAGCAGACAGCACAAGAAGTGGATAGCTTGTGCATCCAGCAAGTTGGGGTATCTGCAGTCTGCCGGGAAATGTGTGTAGGGCTTCCCCAGGTGATCTCATGAATCTTCAACAAAAAAATAAAACATGCTTGGATAGGTACAATATTCTTTTCCTTTTATAAATAAGGAACTTAAGCTGAGATAAGTGGACAAGCTTGAGGAAAAACAGCTAGCAGATACCTGAGCACTCTCAGTTGGAGCCTGAGCTCTCAGTCCAGATGGTTGCTCACAACTTCCAACACAGGCCTCTTGTCTGCTCTGACCAAACCAAACCTGTTAAAAATGTCAGTATCACTCTTCACCTAGCGTCTAAAGTCACCTCTTCCCTGGTCTTTCTGCTTCTTCACTTGCTCCATAATCCATATTTCAGTCAGTAGCCAGAGTGGCTTTTTCCAAAATTGTCATTTGAAATATCTAGTAAACTTCAGAGTTTAAGACACTTTAATGCATTTCTATTGCCTGAAGATTTCTAGTACTATTTCCGAGACCTCTGGCTCTGCCTCTCCTTCCCTGCTTCTTCCTGCCACTCCCTCTCCCCCTCTGCCCTCCTCCCTCATTTCCATCAGGAAACTACATCAGCTGCTTTCTTGAGCTTAAGTTCTTTCACACCACAAGGATCCTTGCCCATACTGGCCTCTTCTGTGCCCCCGACCCCCAGTATGTGCCAGTTTTCAAAGATGGCATCCTTGTGTATGAGGTTAAAATAATCCATTCCTGTCATTCTCATAACAAGCTTTGCTTTTGAGGCACCTGTTTATCTGCATTTATTGGCTTCACTTGTGCTTCCACTGTTCTTCCCTTGGTGTCTACCTCTGTCTTCCCCATAAACTCTGTGAGGGCAGAAACTCTGGGTGTCCTCTCCCATTATAGCACAAAAGGGTTTTAATTGAATGAAATAATCAAAGATTTGTTACCACAACCTTTGCTGATGTAGTGCTCAGGTAAACAAATGTTGATGTTTGGTAGAAGTGACAGATATTCTGCCTACAGAGAATAACTCCAGGTAAGAAATACTTTTGAACTAACTTAAGACTAGCTTTATAGAATAATAAAGCACCTTTTCCGCCAATCTGAAAATAACCTAAATGGTCCTAAAATCAAGAGTGTGTGAGTGGCATTGTGTAGAGGGAAGAGGTCAGGTAGGACTACAGGTGGGAACAAGCCCTCTCTGTTGGTCTGATTGCTCCTCCCCCCTGGATTACTGCTCCTCCAGCCGGCCGAAACCACTTTCCTTGCGTATGTGTTGCGCTCGTACACAATGTGGGTCACAGACCAAGGATGTGGGGCCTGACAGTACATGTTGTTTTAAGAATTTCTTTGGAGAAAAATGGGAATCAACATCCCAGGTAAGTATGAGCTTGCAGAAAGCATGATGCAGTGTACACACACAATTTTTGGAGTTTACCAAACTCATGAGCCATCCATATAGGGAATATAAGGGTTGTTACTTTCTGTATACAGTTATTATTTCCTCTCATCTGTTTTCTATTTTCCTGTCTAGCAACAAGAGACTGGGACCTACAAGTACCTATCACTTATACCTGTAACCTGTAAAACACGCACTTGGTGCCATGTCGAGCCTGTTCTTGTCCCTGGCATCGAGCTTCCCAGTTACACTGCTCCATAGGCCCTGGTAGAAAACCACCTTACAGCAAGTCTTCATGCCTTTCCCCTCATGGCAGGGTGTCCCAGATACAGAATTTCAAGGTCAACAGTATTTCAATAACAATTTGGAGGAAGTTGAGTTATCCAACTGTTTGCTTTTCAAAGGGCATTTGTAAAACAAGTGATGATAATCATCACGGTTCTGTAAAGGAGAGGGTATTATAACATCAGAGCATCCACAAGTGCAGTCAGCTCAAAATAAAGGATTGTGTTTAAGTCAAACGTTAGATTTTTTTTAAAAGGCACAGAATTGTTCTTATTTTTCTCCTTTTACTGTGAATTTATACAGGGGTAGAGATCAGCACCAGTATTTGTATCGAACATGCTAATTTGCATGATAGCTCATTGTTAAATTGAATAACCCAAGGGTAATTTAAAATTCATCTAGCTGTACCTTACTTTTTAGGTTACTAATTATTCCAGAAAATTTGTACCTGATTGGTATATTGCAGTTACAGCTTTCTACCTCTCTGATAGCCGTGTTTGTTAACTTCTACTTACTTTTCCTGAGTTTGTTACCAAATCCCCTTTGTAATCATGACTGTGTACACTGACAGCTCTGTGTGATGAGCAGGATTAGAAGGGGCTTTTTGTGTTTCCAAAATTACTTTTAAGTCTGCAATAAGGTTTGCTCTTGTTCTTAGCTTTCTGGTTGTCAAGCTGAATTCAGCCGGTGGTGGCATAAGGAGATGAAAGCAGTGAAGTTTCCATCCCAGGGAACAATCTTTGATTATTATCTGGACCACAAAACTAAGAAATTCTTGCCTTGGACTGATAAAATCCCAAAATTTACAATGGATCCAGATGTACCCCTGCAGGTAGGTGGTCGAGAAGAGTAATTTTCAAGTCGCCATATGCTGGTTTGAGGTCCCTTCCCTTCTCTTTTTTTATTTTGCAAATTATTTTATTCCTGATGGATAAGTAATTGTGTTGATACACTAAGCATGGAAAACATTTCCTGGGAGAGAAGAATTTCCATTATAGGAATGATTAATAAGATGTCTATTGTACTGTTACATAAAAAAAAAAGGTCTGCAAACCTTTTTTTTTTTAACTTTTTTTCTGTGCTAACAGCTTTCTTTATATTTTCTGAGAAACTTTGTGAGTTTTGTGGAAATTCAAAGCATGTTCCTATTCACTGATTTTTATTTGACCTCATTGTAAATTTCTTACCACTTTCACATACACTTTTGCCTTTACCCCACAAAGAATAATATGAATATATTCAATCTCTTCATGTTTCAGATTGACATAACACTGACAAAATCTAAATGAGTCTCTCTCTCTTTTTTTTTTTTTTAGTTTCTCTTCATGAGTTTTCCTTCTACATTTCTCTGTCAAATTATTCTTTGATCACCTATTCTGTCTCAATCTGTCCTCCTTTTCCTTATATTTCTCCCTCGAAATCATAATTCTAATTCCTTTTCAAACTGCTTATTTCAAGCAGTGCTCTGTGAATAGGACATAAGTGTTTTCTAGCTCATTAATTGAGAGACAGCTAGTGTCAAATGAGGGAAAACCAATGTATATTCATGTCCTGGAGCTGGTGTCACACATTAGGTGACTTACGAAACAGAACAGTATCAACTTATGCTTCTGGAAGCCAGAAGATCAAAATCAAGGTGTCCGCAGGCTTGATTTCCTTCTGAGGACTTTAAGAGTGAATCAGTTTCATGTCCCTCTCTTAACATCTGGTGGTTTGGGGGCCCTCTCCGTGTTCATTTGTGGCACCATTAATTCCAGTCTTACATGGCACTTTCCCCTAAAATCTCCTTTGGTATAAAGAGACCAGTCATTTTATAACAGGGACCAGCTCTACTTGCATCACTGCTTTTCCATATCACAGTGCCATGGGCAGGGCTGCTTAAACATCAGAATTGTCTTTCCTATAGTGGTGGAGACTGGAAGTCCTGCACCAATATCGTTGCAGGGCTGGTGTCCCCTAAGGCCTTTCTCCTTGTTGCAGATCTGCTCTCAAGGTCCCCTGCTTGGTCTTTCCTCTGTGCACATGCATCTTGGCCACACCATGCCCAAATAGCCTCCTTTTATAAAGATATTTATCGGTCAGCTTGGGTTAGGACCTACTCTATCGGTATCATTTTATCTTTATCATCCCTTTAAAGACTTAACTTCCAACTCACATTCTGAGGCACTAAGGCTAGGGCTTCAACATGAATTTGGGAAGAGTAAAATTCAACCCATAACACCTATCAAAGAGCAAGTTTTCAGTAAGCCCAGTATCCTTAAATCAAAAAGTACAAGAACAAATGTTTCTAATGGAATGATCATCCTGAATTATCTATAAAATGCTCATTTGTGTTCTTTGTATGCCAGCCAAGCAGGGAATATTTTATCCATTGCAGAATTTTCCTATGAACAACATGAGCCTCACAGAAGTTAACCCTCCTACTAACCTGGCCACAAAGAAATGCACAGAAATGTTGGCTCTAAGTCTTTGTAGCATCAATTCCTGAGTGTTCACATCTCCTATCCCTGGTTCTGATCTTATATTTTCATCTGTATTCTCCAAGTCTCATTTTTATTTATCTTTATCCTTCATTTACTTCAACTGTTGTGAGCCACCTCAAATTCTTTGTGCCAAGAATATAGCAGGTAAATAATAACCAACAAGCACAGAATTTACATAACAAAACAATATCTTTGAGCTGTGAGTGTCCCACAAGAATCAAAGCCACTGTTTGGCCTAAACTGCTCTCTGGCCATGCTGAGCTCTAGTGTGGACTGTGCCCTCATCATTCACTGGTAACCTCACCAGGCAGGGCTTTGCTACCATTTTCCTTTGTGCAACCTGGTTTTGCAAATGTTTGGTCAGTCCTCAAGAGGGGTGGACAGTTTCTTACATGTCCACCTAACCTACGGGTGGACAGCGAGGGAGTCTACCCTCATAGGGCAACTTGAATGCTGGCACTTAATTGGGAAGAGAGAAATCAGTTGCTTATGCTGTGACACTTTGAGGGAAGTGTACAACTGCACTCCGTACACTGGTGTCTGAATGCTATCAATTCAAAAATAAAAAATAGGGCCCTCCTTGGTGGCGCAACAGGTTAGGATGCAGCACTGCAAGCTGGCCGCAACTGCTTCAGTGCGAGTTTGATCCCCAGTCCCGGAGGTGACCCACAGGGCACAGCAGACCTCTCTTGTCACCCGCTGCTCCCCTCAGCAGTGTGCTCTGTCAATCTGCTTGCACTGCTTCCTACTCTATCTGGTGAATCTTCTCACCACCCTGCACCTCTGGCCTGTACCCCAATTCTGTATGTGTAAATAAAATTAAAAAATAAAAGTAGGGCCCTCCCTGGTGGCACAGCGGTTAAAGCACAGCACTGAGAAGCTAAAGCCACTTCCGCAGGAGCATGAGTTCGATCCCCCCCTGTCCCAGAGGTGACCACATGGCGCGGCAGACCTCTCCTGACCCGCCCGCTGCTCCCCTCAGCAGTGTACTTCGT